CATCATTTCTCCATCAAACTCATTCCTAATCTCTCTAAGATGAACTAAAGTACTCAAAAAAAGTTTAAAAATCTAAACTTTAGGGTTTTTGGATTTAAAAATCGAAACTTTAGGGTTTTTTTTTTGAGATTTGAAAGAAAGAGGTAGAAAAAATTTGGGTTTTTTTTTTTTGTTTGAAATTGAGTTTACTTACTGTACTTTGTAAGCATTGATGATGAAAACCCTCAGAGGAAAAACCCAAAAGACCCAAAAAAAAAAGTTTTAAAATTTGATTTAAAAAAAAATAAAAAAAATTAGGGTTTTTGATATTTCACCATCAAAGTCAGTAGATACAGCTTGGTATAAGCTTGTGTCTGCAGCTGTTGTTGCAGAGAGTCATCAAAAGCACTGTCTGAATTTAATTTTCCTGCAAAAATATAAGAAAAAAAAAAAACAATCTCATAAGAACAAATCTTTAGATAATTATATGTATATGTTACATCCTTATCTACTTTAAAAAAAAAAAGAGATCAATGACTTTCATATTTATACATATTTAAGATATCAGTAATTCTGATTCGAATTTATGTTCTACTCTTTTAGATCTGACATACACACACACAAAAAAGTCTGCAGAAAAACAATTATAAGAACATAAAAGTGATAAAAAAAATTATTAAGTCAGTTAATTGATCTGAATCAGTAACAACTTTCGGCTGAATCAATTATCAATGGAGACTTTTAAAGATAAGAAGACAAACAAAAAAAATGCAGAAATCGAGTTCAGTGATTTATTTAGCTATGTGTTTCTAATTATGCAAAATATAGAGAGAGAGCTTATAATAATAAATTGAGCTGTTTCATAGTTACCAACAAGAAAACAAATACTAATAAATTTAAAAGGAATCATTATTGCTTTGTGTTCTGGATTCTATGCAGATCGTTGGACTCTAAGATGAAACAGGTGTCAAGCTCTTGCTTGATTTTATAAGAAAGGAACAAAAATTAGTATTTTTGTACATTGATTTTGCTATCTTGGATTAAAAGTTAAACATCAAGAAATCAAAATCGTAGATCTAGAGTTTTTTTCCTTTCTTTCAAATCAAAATTGGAAACACACAAAATTCAGTTTTTTTTTTTTTTTCTCTGTGGAAATTTTGAAATTTTAGTTATATAGTGATGAGAATTTGAGAACTTACAGAAAGAAAACAGAGGAGCTTGAGCTAGTTGGTGGCTTGAAAGAGGGCTAGGGTTTTAGGGATTGT